TTTAGATATTCAAGGAAGGGGAAGGGGAACTAGGCCTTTGGTAACCTAACATATATTTTAAACATGATAAACATATGTGATATAGTATAAAGGGGGTAAGTCTAAAGAGGTTGGCTTTTAGCAATAATTAGGATGACTTGGACTAGAGTGGAACTATTACGAAGGAACTAAAGAGATAGGTCCTAATGTCGTGGTGGCTCGGGGTTTATGACGCCCGCTTCTCATGCATGAGGGTGTGCGTTCGGAACCTACTAACGGCAAGTACCAATGTGACTTTTTCCAGAGTTATATGAACTTTCTAAGTTTATCTAGACACCACTGACAAACGGTAAAGAAAACCATCGTGATGAAACCCGGGCTTATAATTTCTTATGATAGGTTTAAAATCGCCAACCCGCAATGAGTAAGCGTGGTGATTAATGTTCCAACCTTTTCCGTGTGAGAAGAGGCTTTTCTCAGCAGTGGGCATTTATAGGCTGTTGATGATGATGATAAGGAGAAAGGAACTATCTTGCTATCTAACTGAGGTAGGTTTGACAACTTGAGCAACTTCAGCCCAAAACTGTTCGAAAAGAACTGGCAGACAATGGGTCAACGAAAGCAGTAGTTGTAGAAAGCTGGGAGGCTTCCATGCCTTTGTATGAAGATTTTTAAGGTACAAAATGTCTGGCTTTCGTAGGCCGTCAAATGCGTGTCATTTGTGAAACAATTAGGTGTTAGGTTATCTCCAAAAGTTCATAATGAGAGGATATTATTTCAATGCGTTTACTAATTTACAGTTGAAATGGAGTTTAATAAATAATTCAATGTGACAGATGGCCAAAAGTGATCAATGAAAACCACCCTTATTGCTTTGGAAATAGCGTTCTCATGAGGCTGATAAGTAATGAATGCATGATACATTTGCATACATTGAGAAATCATCCAATCAGACTTTAGTAAAATATTAATAATGAATTTTGAAACTCCCTAACAATTGTGGTAAGGGGTACACTAAGAATTACACGAATTTAAAAGCTGACACAAATTACTTTTTTATTTAAAAGAAATATTATGCGTCGAAACTATATTCTACGAACGACAAACAGAACCCATAATTTCCTCTAACCGCGCCCAGAGACAAAATAACATACAACCTTATTGTTAAGCTTTATTAATAAGCAAAAAAGGAAAAAATCTATTTATTTAAAATTCTAACTATATTACTGTCAACCTACGTTTATTTAACGAGACAAGCGAGTTTCTATTTTAATTAAAACTTTATATTAATAACAACTTGGCTGCTCTTTACATTATTATATTTGCATTTCGTTTGTTCAGAGACATGCTAACAAAACTGATGACGGTACCAAATCACAGATTAACCAACTCTGTCGCTTCAAGTTTACAATATGAATACATGAAACGGATATATGTATAATCGCATATGAATGAGTGAGATAGAAATAGTACAATACAGTTTTCAACGACAGAGGTTTTATAACGCAGATTAATTTTTGATCACGTTGTTAGCACATCTATATAAAATATACCGAATTCGAGACATCCAGATACAGTCAAGTTGCTTAACTACACATAATAGGATGATTACAGACTAGAAGGAAAAGATTATATATAAATGTGTGTCATTTGTATGTTAATCACACAATTACATTACGTCACTATTGTGACTGGGTCGATTATGTAACATACATCAATGTTATAAAAAAATATTTACAATATAATATTGGATGTCGGACGCCATGACAAAGTTACTGCGTTCGCTCTTTGGAGCGCGCAGTGACTTTGTATTGGAGTACACTTATTGAGTTATTAGGTATGTACACAGTCAACATATTGACACATTTAGTTGGAATTAAACTTAATTTTAAATCTACACGAATCTCTGAGATACATGTCATGTGAAAAGGAGACATGAATATCAATTCATACATAAAATTCTCCGAATGAGCAGCAACTAATAAAAATCACACATATAGAATTTGCAATCAGAATAACAAAACATAATTAATAATCAAATAACATGTTTATATTATAACTTTCGTGAGATATACTAAATTAATTATTATGTTTTCGGCTTACTAACGTAACTCTTTGACGAAGGACTCGACTAGTTTCAAGCTCATAGGCTCATATTCGTGACCAGCCGCATCGCGGGTCGCGGAATGCTGCGAGCCTCTACCATCTTTACCAAACAATAACGCGAGTAAACCAAAAATATATAATTTGACAAATAACATGATACATAACAGAACTGCACATCCTATAGTTAATAAACAATTCATAAAACCTCTTTTCGTATATTTTTGTCGATATACTGTTAACAACTAATACTTTGTTTAGCAACAACATGGATGATAGAAAAGAGATACATTGTAAGAGATCAATGGTAGACAAATGGAATTTGTCCAGGGACAGATTTCACCAGAGACAAAACCCGAGGTTTACAATGTACCGATGGCCAATTTCATTATTTAAATGTGTACTGTGTGCATACCTGTAATAGGCGTGTCGACAGGGTAAACAAATCAAAAAAGTAATTAGTCCGTCATTAAGATCGCACGAAAATATCAGACACGTAATTTTTTGTTTTATCAAATTAACAGAAGAATACGTAGTTATTCCGCATTAAAGTTAGGGAGTGGGGGGTGTTGACGTCACACTTACGGAGAAATCGTACCTAAGTGTGACGTCACGCGTCATTTTAACTCAAAATATCTACATGTTTTTTTGGATACGAGAAAAAAGAAAAAATACGTATCGAAGATTTTTTAAATATCTAAAAGACGGACAAAAAATTAAAAAATAGTCGCCATGCCTATTGTAATATCTTACTTTAATAGTGAAGACAAAAAGGATATGTAACTGAAAAGGAACTATTATGATTAGGTTTTTTAATTATCACATACTAGCGACCCCCCAGACAACCCCCCCCCGGCTTCGCACGGGTGCAATATGCATGTATTATACATGTAAATCTTCCTCTTGAATCGCTCTATCTATTAAAAAGACCGCATCAAAATCCGTTGCGATCTTTCAAATAAGCATACAAAGGAACATAGGGACAGAGAAAGCGACTTTGTTTTATACTATGTAGTGATGATGTGAAAAACAAATCATTCCATTAAATTGATTCCTGTACAGGCTGAGACCGTTTTTACCCGCTAATTACATCACCCCAATAGAAACCAGAGCTTGTGAAAATGGACATAAACGAGTTGTTAATAAGACCTATAATCAAATAATTCCTTTTCTATCACATACTTCAATAGATCTCCACCAAAATAGTAAGAATGTGTTGAGATACCCAAGTTGCCAATAAGACAAATCATTTTACGACAAAATAACATTAAAAAAGTTTCTAGTCTAATTGACACCTTACTGGCAACTTTGGTACATAGAAATGAAGTATTTAACAATGTTAAATGAGAACAAAATTTTAAGTAACGTAATTAAAATTTCGTATTAAATAAACCACTCAATTCATTCAAAATAGTGTCTTAAATGAAGGCGTTGGAGTTCAAAATTGATTGATATGTTTTACAAGGCGTAATGGAGGAAAAATAAATCTTTAAAAATGCTAGTCAAGGCCATACAATTAAAAAACGGTTATTCAATTTTATGGCCTGCCTAGTACTTGCACAGGTTTTTGATTATTCTAATATACTTTGTACAATTCTCTCGCTTTTTGATTCATTAGTAGACTAATAAGTAGCTTCATACAACAGTTGAACGAATTGTTGTCAAGCAATTTTGAACTCTTACGACAATCACAAAAACAAAGAATTTTAATGTCAAAAAAACTCTCACTCAGTCTACAGTACCAAAAAACAGGTACCTACTTATTACATTATATTTAATACAGTATGAGACTAAACAAACCTAAAATCATTTTAGAGATTTGATGTTTCATTCGAAGGCCTTAATCCAAGTATTTTCATATTTTATTTTACTATAACCTAATTTGACTGTTACGTTTTAAGTACGTGTAGTTGCCAGGGTAACAAAATTAAAAATCGAATTAGTCCGTCAGTTAGATTATGAAAAAATAGTTGACACGTATTTTTTTTTATTTTCTTATCTAATGTCTACGTGTCTAATGTTTTAAAATAATCTACCAGACGGACATTAAAATAAAATTTAGGAAACTACCATATTGTAGTAGTAGCTATGCGACTCGCTGCAGCGATGTCATGGGTTTGATCCTCGCACGGCCGCCCGTCGTACGAGTATGAGAAATTATAATCTATCTATACAGATAAATAAAATTGGAGTGTTTGGAATATTGAAATAACTTCTTTTACTGCATACCTACATATGAATATACATACGATACATATACCAAAATAACACTTTTTTTTACACTTTTTGTTTGTTTGTCTGTCTGCCTGTTTGTTTGTTTGTACTCGCTAATCTCTGAAATGGCTGAACAGATTTTAACGGGATTTTATTGGCAGGGAGCTAATGTACTAAAAAGTAACATAGACTACTTTTATTTTAGGAAAACGCAGACAAAATTGCGGGTTCAGCTAGAATGTAATATTATTGTAAACGCACCTACGACACAGAAGAACCGTTTGAATAAAAGAAGTAACAATTTCATACAGTAAGCACTTCATAAGTACTTATAGCAAATTAAAATGATTTTGAGAGCCTTCCCTAACATTTAACATGTCCTTCTTTAGTGAAAGTTTGACGCCATTTTAACTCGGCACTAATATGCTGAAGGATTTCTTGACGTTTCCAAACTTCATTTACACTCAATCCAACCAATTATCAAATCTATTGTGTTAATAATAAGTGTGATATAAAAAGCAAAATTATACTTGCCTGACTATTGTGTACCGTTAAGCTAATATTGACTTTAGACCTACTGTTATAAAGGTCGAATTTGGTTGTATAGTGTAAATTTAATTTGAAATGCATGTTTAATATTTTGTTTAATCTTATACTGTATTAAATATATTAGAGAAATAAACGATTTCATTTTCATTCATTCATTTTCAGATATTGGTTACGTTTGATAATACCAACAATAGCTTTCATCTTGATACCGGTTTTAACCGGCTTCAGTCGGATTTCTAAGATCGAAGTAGTAAAAATGCGTTGTTTTTAACTCTCAATACAAGTTTTGAATGTTCACAAAATATGCCAGTCTTGAACATTCGCACTCTCTTTGCATACAAACATTTGTCTAAACGCTTCTCTCTTGCCATTCATATAAACGTGGGATTGGTGGCAAATGTTGGCCAATATGTTGGCGTATAACTTTCAAACATATACAGTGTCCGACCACTGAAGGCTTTTATATTATCCCCATTTGGAGCTAATTTAGCAGAACTGTCTGTCCAATGGAGAGTTGTCAAACTAATAGTCATTAACATTTTATTATCTAACAGATCTTTAACTCCATCTGGTGTATAAAAAATACGATAGCCCTCATAATCACTTTATCGTGATAGAAAGATATAACTCCACGAATTATTGGCCAACATATGTAACCAATTTAAAATATATTAAAAACCGTCCACTCCCACGCACCCGCATCATCATAGCTACCAAACACACCAATTCTGTAAAATTTCGAATACGAACTATAGAATCTTAATACATTTACAAGTAGCTCATACAGAAAATATTGCAGAATAACCCTTCCGTTACTGAAGTACTTAATTTAATTCTATATACAAGATAGAAACTAACTTTCTAAGAACACAGTCGTATGACGTTTAAAAATCGTCTTTACTACATATAACATAAAGTCTCATTTTACAAAAAGATTGTAGACTTGATTTTGTTTACATTGTACTAATATATGAGATTGGTACCTACATTGAAGAATCTATTGCCTATTGAGAACTTTCCTAATACTAGCTGCAGTAAATAATTGTAAAAGGTTAAAAATGACTTATCTATTGATATGAAATATGTATCCACTTTAAATCTAGTAGCAGACTGCAAAGACATACTATGAACTAATAAAGACTAATTTTGCTTAACTGGTTTGAGTGAAATACTGGTATAAATTAAGTAATATTATTCAAAAAGGTATCCAAAATATTAAGACCCTATAACAGATCGTCCGAATAAGTTCCTCTTGGCATAATTGAAACATATTTTGACACATTTCTTAAGGCAAATATGTCATACTATTCGTCAGTAAGAGAAACTTAAGTACTTGTGAAACAGGGCCTAACTACCATACTCTGAGGTATTTAATGATAACTTAAACGATGCCTTAAAACGTTTTGTTACGAAAACAGTCGCTCAGGACTAGGTTAAATAACCATTAACAGCCCAATCGTGGTCACCGGTGACCACTCTCCACTAAGTCCATGATAGACCTTAATTCCGATGGTTAGAGACTACTTTGGTATGAACAAATTTTCGGTTCGATTATCAACGTATTAAGGGACTCTCGAGTACAGAGGTAAGTCTGCAACTAGCTTTAAAGGATGAATCGCTACCAGGACTACTATTAAGTCAATCGGTAAAACAGAGCATTAAACAAATGGAGAACACAACGCTTTGAAAATTTAGACATAATACAGTTCAAAAGGTGCGTGAGTCCTCCATCAGTTCACTCCTCTGCGTTCTATTGTAAAATGAAACTCACTGATAATTCCTTAAATTTCGTCTTTTATAAAGTATACAACACTAACACTGCACTTCACCAAAACCTTGGGCGAGGGCCCATCCATCGGTTAGGACGCGGCCCGTTTCTAGGCCAGCCTTGTTGTGGAGAGAACCCCGGTGGCCTAAAGTTAGTCCGCGGACCCCAATTTCTAGGGAACCGAGGGTTCATGAACCTCGGCTGATGCTGTTGCCACTCCTCATTGCCAAACTCCTCGAATGGTGGAGATGGGTTTCGTATTTCGTGGTGCTTGGCCTTCTCTAAGCCCCTGCTTCTAAGATCCTCTTCGTAAGCGCTGTCATTGGAGTTATCCTCAGTCAGATCGAAGGTTTTAGGGAAATTCAGAGGTTTTTGGAAGTTCATGTTGAAGTTTTTGAGGGAGGGTGGCATGGCATCGAAGGGGTTCACCATTGGTGGCATTATGGGCGCGGAATGCGGCTCTTTCTTGTCGCTGTTGATTTGTATGAGATTGTTATGGTTGTGTTCATTGTGCACTTTGCCGTTATCTCCCCCTACTAGCACTTTGTTGTTGTTATTGAAGCTGTGCCGTCTCTCCACCTGGTTTTGGTTTGTGTACATTCCTTCTGAAATGTATTACGATATTGTTAATGATCTTACACATAAATTGGGAGTAAGACGAGATATTTTGGACATAGCAGATGGCGCCACTAACGACTTACGTCTTTCGAATATAATCCACAGACTTATAATGCTTTGTAGAACTTACTATATGTGTACCTCTAGCATACTGTATAGCATTTTGTTATTAGTCTAGAAACCCCACCAAACACGACCAATAGGGCTTTTCCCCCCTTTTTGATAGTTTTACCAAGTAGCGGGAGATCCTAGGATAAAATAAAGATGATGATAATGACGATGATGCCTTTATTTAAACGGAATATCTTACGTTGATCCTCATCTTCAGATAGGTCCATGTCGACGCTCTCCACGATATCCGAAGGCGGCACCATCGGTGGTACCCTGTAATCCTGTTTAAATAGACATGTTATTATTGATTTAAAACCTATTAATATTACGGTACTCTTCATTCGATGTTCAACTTTATACTTTTGATATAAAGTCGAAAGTTCAATGAAACAAATTGACACCTGCTGGCGTCTGAACAACGGACAAAATAATAAGACGATTTGCGATTGCATTAGTTAATTTTAATCTTTAGAACAAAAGGTATAAAGTCTAAAATGTATTAATGAAATATCACACTTGGCAACCAATTTCAGTTTTAATCACTGTCGAAACTTGAATGATAATAACATTTGTAACAAACATGAACTTACTTGATCCCTCGTGACAGAGTTGATTGGTTGGGGTGGAGGTGTGGGTTGATGCGTTAACGGAATCAAATTCCTGTGATCGACATCTGAAAACGATAAATATAAATATGATGATCAAACATTGTAATCAAGCAACAAATATATTCCAGTGTTCACAGTGAAATTAAGAAAACCTTTATTTCATCCTTCTCCTCTTTTTATTTTATTTCGTGTTGTCTAGATGGCGCCCCAATCGACAGTGGACAAATCAAATCCAAACTATTTCAATTAATATCGATGCTTGGTGTAATGTAGTTTCCGTCAAAAACTTAAAATCGACCAGAGATTTTAGATTCATAGTGCCAAGCTCGAAGAAGTATCGCATTCGTAACGTAATAGTATCTAGCGCGTTCGTCACTCTAATTGGCCGGCTGCAGTGAATCAACCAATCAGAGCGGTTATTAACTTCGAGCGTTAGTATCAATAAGTTTGTGTTTTCTTATGCCTACACCTTGTCTATTGAATCAAAACTTTGCATATACATACTTAAAAATAAAGGAGTATAAGTATGATATTATTAAGAATGGCTTTTATTTAAATTAGTTGTTCCTCTTGTTACCTTGATGTACAGGGTGTCGGACGGGTGCTGGGGTGACGACAGGCGGTACTGGCGACAGAGACGGCAACATTCTATGGTCTACGTCCTCCAGCTCTGTAACGCATAGTCGTATAATACAATAATCATTCCTCATAAGATCAATTTAATATTACCTGTATGAATTTAATACACGTATAGAATGTCAGTTCTTCCTTTCTTTTAACTTGTTTAAAGAAATACAAGATTGGTTCAAAATAAACAATAATGTAATAACCCACAGTTAATCAGAGCCTTTTTTCGTGATGGAGGCAGGTTAGTATACTGAATGCTATTATTATTTAAAAGATTTGTCTGGCCTGGAGATATGCCGCCAATCTGAGTAGTTAAGTGTGGGAGAGCCATGCTTCGGCACGAATGGACCGGCCCGACCGGAGTGATACCACGGTCTCACAGAAAACCGACGTGAAACAACGCTTGCGTTGTGTTTCGTCGTGTGAGTGAGGTTACCGGAGGCCCAACTACCCTCCCCTTCCCCAATCTCCCCAATTCCTGAATTTCCAACGATCCTCAAACTTCTAATCCTCAAAAGGCAGGTAACGCACTTGTAACGCCTCTGATGTTCCAGGTGTCCGTGGGCGACGCCGATTGCTTATGCCATAAAAAAAATCAAAACACAACAATTCCTTGTTCTTTTTTGTTTTATGTAGCCCACAGGTTTAGAGCATGGGGCGGCAAACGAGCAAATGGATCACCTGATATTAAGCGATCGATGCCGCCCATAGGTTTCTATAGCTACACCAAACAAGTGTGTTGCCGGCCCTTTTGGTATTGGGGATTTGAAGAGTGAGGGATTCGGGGATTTGGTGATAGAGAAGATGATGATAAAATCGAATGAACTCGCAAAATCATATTATTATACTAAAATCATAACAACTTACGACCAAGCAGTGGTAAGACGGGCGGCGGAGGTGGAGGCGGTAATATTCCTCTGTGATCCACATCTGTCGGAATCTCCTGCAATGCAATTGTGTTAGCGGACAATCAACATTAAGAACAGCCATATTGCTCTAGCCATCATTATTAGACGGATGACTGAAATAAATACAGACTATTGTCTGTATTTGAATATGGAGACTTGTCATTGGCTGTCAGACTTACATACATATTTCTTTCTATTTTTAAACTGTAAATCTTCCATAGTTATTAATGGGTAGTAATGAAAGCTCCAACAAAAAGAGAAGGATTCCTTACCCAAAATATTAAATCTACTGCATATAATACTAACTTTCCGACTATTTTTCTCCGAATAAAATTGACAAAACGAGCGATTGAGATACTGAAATCTTCGAAACACAAACATGACTGTTTTTTGCTATAACACTAACCTAACCTAACCTAAAACGTCTGTTGTCGGTAACTTAGTAAGTTTGTCGGAGGTTCAGTATTCTATTCGGAAGTTTAGTTTTGTTATTCGAAGATCCATTTTTATAGTCGTTAGATTAATTTCTTTTTCGGAACCATTATTATTTACCGTTATTAATGCTAGTAAACATTCCATTTGATACTCTTTTACATCAAATATTACGAAGTATATTTACCATTTTTAAATTGATAGTCAACATTTTATTTTAATTTATAACAATAACAATAGGTACAAAACAAGTTAATTACACTACATGTATCATGTATCGTATTTGTCGCACGAGTCGTGTATTGCAAAGTAATATGTGTCACATATAGAATCTACATTTTATAACAAGCACCTTTACCGACGGACAATTTCATAGACGTTTCTATATATATGTACTCTAGTTAAAAATAAATGCATTGTCTTTAACTTTGAAGCTTTGTCGTGTTTGTCGTATGTGTCGCTACTTACCTGTGGATACCGCACTGGTTCTGGCGGTGGAATGGGGCGCGGCGCCGGCGGCGGCGACTCCGGCGTGTCAGTGAACACGTTCGTGTTCAACGTAGGATTCACACGCTAAGGACAAGTAATAAATACCATATTAATGAAGGAGCATGGCTCTCCCACGCGAACAAACTTGGGCTTATTATTTTGATGTACACACGGCTACACATCGAGTTTTACATAACCAGTATAAAATCAACGTTAAATGTGCGGAAAGATGATGCGACGTGATACCAGGATAAACTGATTTTGTATACATTGATGAGTGGCCGTGTGCATATTCTTTTTATTTGCGAATTCCCAGTTCATATGATACACAAAGCAGATAAGTATAGTAGAAAAACTGGGGAGATAATATCAAGTAGTGGGTGAACCTGGTTGTTTGGTAACAACTGGTTACAACTGATAGATGGTACTACTACAGCGCAAGAATTACGTTCATTTGAACACGTATACCAACTTTTTTGAAAAATAAAGAAAGATAGAATCTTACAGCTATATTCCAGTTAGTATTATTCCAAGAGCTAGCCGCTTCTGGGTGGTAGGGTTCTGGTTCCTCTGCAAATAAGAAACATATTCATTTGAATAGACTTTCACACAAATCTTTTATTATAATGTCAAATATTGAGGAACAACTTAATTTTAATGGTAATTTTATTTCTCATAAGTTTTGAAGATATCATTGATTTAGAATTCACAATAACGATACGTACTACAATTATGACTATTATACTAAAATTATAAAAAGACAAAAATGTTAAATAGATTGTTTGTTTGTAGTGAATAATAGGCTTCGAAACTAATGGGATATTAGAAAAATTGTTTCATCATTGCTAAGCTAATTTTTTAAGGACAGTAACAAGGATTTTATTCCGGTATTCATACAGAATTGATTCTGTAAGCCCTACTTACTACTGCAAATAGAAAATTTGATTCCACATGGATGAAGTCGCAGGTTAATGAATTAATGTTAAATTAATGTCGGAATACTGAAACGCTACTCAATTTTAAGTCGTGCTTAAGTATAGTTCTATCTCTACAAATTCTTTGTAAAATGACAGAGATGGCACGATATTTGAGCACGACTTAAAATTGAGTAACGTTTCAGTATTCCCGTTTCAGTATTATTTCATAATTATGTAAATCGATTGCTGAGAGATAGAAATGGCTTCTTGAATTATATCATAATGAATTGTACATCGTGAGAAACATTTTCATCGGGGTTTCAACATGATTTTTTAGTAAGTTAATTCTTCTCTCTTTTCTTCGGCTTCTAATATCTATATTTAGTAACAAGATGTGCTAATTTAGACGATAAAATTTGCGATCAGTTTCAATACCTATAAGCAGATTCTCTGACTAGATATATAATTTGAGTTAATATCAATATTCTAACTTAAGTAGCCGAACCTACCGTCAAGTAGGTTTTTGAGACTGGCCGTCAGAGATAACACTGGGTAAGTTGGATTCAGAGTTAAAACTACAGGTAAACTATAAATATGAAGTATTTTTTCCAAACACGCCGGTTCGATTTTATATTTAATCTGTCTCTGCTATACAATCCTCGGACACACGAACGTACAACAATAATATTTAAATGTTTCACCATCGACACGACAAATTAACGTCAAGCAAATTACCGAATTCGTGGAAATTCATATAGACATTAAAAACAATACTGTATGGTTAACGCAATGGCTGGGCAACCGTCTGCCGAACAAACATGTCGCAGGTTTAATCGCTTTCGCACGAAGCAACTCTTTGTGCTACCCACTAATTACTGTTCAGTCTCAGTTGTTTTTTTTAACGTTGCCCCACACTACGATTATCTCCTGTGTTGTGGGTGCGTTTACAAACAAAAGTTCACATACACATGCCATCCAGACCAGGAACAACAATCTGTGGATCACACAAAGCGTTGCTCCATGCGGAAATAGAATCCGCGACACATTGCGCGGCAGCCAGTTACCCAGCCACCGCACCAACAGTGCAGTCGAATCAGTGCATCGTGTATGTGAATTTTTGTGTTTGCAAACGCACACAGAAGAAAGTCCTAGAGCCATCCTTAACAGATTGTGCAGGGCAGATAAGTAATCGTATTAAAGATTGTCTGTGTCTTTGTGTCACCCACTAATTGTGTTTCCCGGTCTGGGTGAATCGTGCATGAGATATTGTTTAATGCGTTTTCAACGCACCGACGACACAGGAGAAAAATCTTAGCGATCAATTAAAATAGTTGATGTTATAAACCTGCGTATATAACCGTAATGAAATATCATACCAGTGAGGTCCATGGTGCCATAGAAGGATGTAGGCGGCGGCGGGTTGCCCGGCGTGTCTGGTGTTAGTAAATCTAGCCCGGGCAACGCGTCCTGCGACTTTTGGGACATCGACGCGCTAGTTACTACGAACAAATTATTTTATTTACTTTTTACGCTTCTTGAACATAATGTGTTGCACTGGGATTATCTAATAGTCAACCTGATGATGCAGAGACGTAATAATAGATATAAACGTGATTTTTAATTAAAGCTAAGCTTTTTGACGCGACTTATTAAAGCTAAAACGTATTGAATTATTATGGGTGGCAGGTAAAGTAAATTAATGATTATCGTATAACGGCTATGCATGCAAAACTCAAAACTGTGCAGGGAATTTAATACCTTAAAAACTGTAATAATTGTTTTACACAAGCGTTTAATCATTTTTTGATTATTTTACTTGATAAAAAAGGTCTCAAATAACAATCATGCTGTATAGTGCGTTATAATGTCTTGCGCAATTTGCGCAACTCGGTGCGCAAAACGGCTTACGGATATTTCTCGTTGCGCAAAATATCATTTAAATAAGTACAACGTATAGAGCATAAATAAACTACCACGTAATATTAGTTGATTAGCTGGCGAAGTTTTCCAAGGGTATGATACTAAACGTCATAGTTTACATTGAATTATAATACTTGCTTAAATACGTATTAGCATTTTTACCTTTGAATATAATGGAATAACTTATCTCAATCTCATTCGAAAGCCCTGTAGACGTCCACCAGCCAAATCAGTACCTTATACACATTGAAATTGTGACTAAAATGCAAACTAAGGCACAAACATTCGCATACGAATTATCTACGCTATCAAGCAAAAAACTGCTCTAAAACACTGGTATAGCGAACTAACCTGAGTTATTATCCGATGCGTTGGTATTATTATCAGACATCAGGTTTTTTAGCACGTCGTTTATATTAAACTCCTGCTCGGCTTGTTTTGGCCTACTGTTTATCACTTCGATTTTGTTGGCTGCAATATTAATTCACCACATAATATAGAAGTGGGAATATTGCCATATATGTATCATACGATACAGATTTTAAATAAAAATAAGACCTGAGACAGATTAAGCGCAGGACCAACAGTTTCACATGTTTTTCGACACTGGGAATCGAACCCGAGACCTCGTAATTCGCAGTCATTACCTTCGATAATGTATGAATGAATACACACGAACTATATAATTATATCGTGTGCGGTAGTTGATTGACCATTGTGAAAAAATCAGAGATTTTCGAAAATTTACATAAATGTATAAAAAAATTAATTCCTAGAGCCTTTCTTTTAGTGAAACAGTACAACCTGATCAATATAATCGCAAAGACACACTTTTAAACGAATTTCGACCGTAATACGCTTAGTTATAAGTATTATTTTAGCAAAAACTTACTGCTATTCAGGATATCAGTGGATTCATTGAATAGTGCCATTGGATTCTCTGACGTGAGAAAAGACGTTAGTCCTAGGTTATAGAGAGATCCATCAGCTGCTATTGATGAGTTGAAGGTCTGGTCAATGTTGTAGCCAACTATAACAAAGAAAATAAAAATGTAATTAATGCCTGTTACATAAATCGCAGCATAGTACTAAAGTCAAAGTCAAAATCATTTATTTCAATTTAACCAGAGAGGCACTTATGAACGTCAACAAAAAATTAAAAGTGAAGATATTGTCTCATTCCAAGGTGTAGATTCCTATGGAGAAGAACGAACAAGAAACTCCATAGGTTACTCTTTTTCAATCAGGTTCACAATACAATCCTCTAGTTACATAGTTGTGTTACTTGGATTGTGCTAGAACAATGTAACACTAAAATCCAGTCAAAGAGATCGAAAAAAGAATAATAATAAAATATGTAACTATCAGATTAGGGATGAGGACTTATGATATTAAAAATAAATTTAGTGCGTCAGTTAGACATTGAAAAATATTAGACACGTATTTTTATTCCTCGTATAAGAAAACAATACTTAGATAAAACGAATCAAAGTTTAGGAGTGGGACCTAATTACGTCATTTCTACGTATAAAACGTACTTACCTAGAAGTGACATAACACGATATTTCAAATGAATATAACGTCGAAAGTATTTATTAGGTACTGTAAGAAAATAAAAAATACGTGTTTAACGTTTTATTACTAGTCTGCTAAGACGGACATAAAAATAAATTATCTATAGTCAGAATTTTAATTAGATTCCAGATTTGACAATAGCTACTGTCATTTCGTGAAATAATGATACCACATATAATATTGTAATGATGAACACATAAATCGATAAACAGTCAGTGTGTGTGTTTTATAATAAATGTTACAGAAAGTGACAGGATAGCGATAGCGATGACGGCGACAATTTATAAAATAACTTATTACCGTAATACATCTATTTGTTTTATCTGTCATGTTCCTTTATGATTACATTTTTTTATTTATTTCACACACAATTATAAAATAAAGGCTCAGATCGTTTATTAATCGTCAAAACTAAATTATCGGTTCAGAAATATTTAATTTCCTGATATACTTAGTTTACGAGAGTAAAATTATAAACGAAAAGAATCGATCCAGAAATATTGCATTTCCATATCGAATAATTTCGCAACGTCACTATTTAGTACTTGTCATAACGTTGCAACACTGAAATTGTTAAATCTGGAATCGAATTAAAATTCCGAGTATAGGTATCATATTGTACTGCCGTATCATTTATTAACAGACTAGGTTATTAAATGAAATGACTCTGTCTAACCCTTTAGGGAGTAAAGGCGTGTCAATATAAAGGCACTTACTTTCATCATCGTCCCCAGTGTTTTCTGGTACGGGTAGTTCGAGATCCTCATCAGGTCCTGGAGATGGTACATCCTCGTCCCGCTGAGGTGGCGATGGAGCAGCGTTAGGCAACGTCGGTATAAGCTCGTCTAGTTTCCGCTTCAATGCTTTAACACGCGCCCCAAAATTTTTGTATGCCTAGAAACATTTTTAGAATCTAGTGAGTGTTTTTTTTGCCAGTTAGGTAGTACTTGGGAGAGAAATTCGATATTCATTTTATTATTATAATGACCTTTAATGTCATCCAACAGTGAAAACTGTAAGAAGTATGAGCAGATTGCTCATACTTTTATTATTATGCGCTATGTCATGAGTTTTTCTATTTACTTATTCAAATATAAGCGACCCATAAACAATTTATGGTAAAAAAGCAAAAAAAAAAAGGATCAGTTTTATCAAATAGCGTTCGGCGCTCTGAGGCTTAGTACAAATTTGTTTTACGTTTAAAGTTTAAAGTAATCGAAACTAGATGGCCGTCGGTGCTGTGATTAGTCGGCTCCAATGAACCCACCAATCAGAGCGCCGTAATCGTAAAATAAACTCGTACTAAGCCCTCTGATTGGCCAGCTACAAAGAACCAACCAATCAGAGCGCCATTAAACGTAAAACAAATTCGTAAGCCCTCTGATTGGCCAGCTCCTAAGAACCAACCAATCAGAGCGCCATTAAACATAAACTAATTCTTACTAAGCCCTCTAATTGGCCAGTAACAAAGAACCAACCAATCAGAGCGCCATTAAACATAAACTAATTCTTACTAAGCCCTCTGATTGGCCAGTAACAAAGAACCAACCAATCAGAGCGCCATTAACTCGTTGAGTACCGTCATTCATTATACACACAATTATAGAACAATAGGTTGCGGTCACCGGTGACCGCTTGGTGTTTGACAGTTTAAACGTAAAACAAATTCGTAAGCCCTCTGATTGGCCAGCTACAAAGAACTAACCAATCAAAGCGCCATTAAACGTAAAACTAATTCGATCTAAGCCCTCTGATTGGCCAGCTCCAATAACACAACAAGAGCTTGTCAAAAAAATGTAGTCCCTTGATGGGCTCTTACGACGCCCGCGGGAAGAGTAGGGTGGCAAAACAAATTGCAAAAGAGAAAGACAATAAAAAGTGTACACTTACATAAGCAACAACCTTCACTTCACCTCTTTGCGTCGCGTAATACTGCGTAGCAGTGGTAAGCAGTGCTAACAGAGCTTCCCTCGCTACAATTTCCCTTTGCAGCGCAGCAGTGTATCTTTCCACACATGATATCCCATCATTCAACTCCTTTTCCACATCGTCCTTGTTGCCTCTCTCTGAAATCACATAATATTACAACTGTCAACTAGAATAAAATTAATAATGCTTCGTAAAAAAAAACAACTTCTAAATCTACAATTACAAAATATTACTGAAAATTGTTCATACCAAAGTAGTCTCTAATCGTCAGAAATAAGGTCTATAATAGTGGAGAGACCTTACCAGTGACTACTTAGGGATTACGTACTATTATTTACTTTTATATTATAGTGTCATAGCCAGATAAAAAAGAATGGATTATTTTCGAACATTTTTTTTTTTTAATTTATGCATGTAAGTGGACTCTGCAATAGAGTCCATAGGTAATTATACTTTCATGAAACATTCTTTTGTTTCTAAGATGTGCTTTCCTTTACAAAATACAGCACTAATAAAAAATTAGAACTACAAAACATGTTTGGACAAACCTTTAAGTGAAGTTCTCAATAGCTCAGCATCGGAAAGTTCCAGATGACTGTCATGGATCTCTTTCAGCCTCAAATCTGTGTCCGCTTCTAATACTGAACACTGTTTTATCTTATTCACCAGTTGTGATGGCTGAAACACACAATTATAGTAAATAAGTAATGGTTAAGATATGGTCTATGTATAAGTGTTACATATTACAGCTATTTTTGTGTGTACTAGCATGTACTTATATTGCTGTCTGCGTGTATATTGTAGCATAATAAATGGTTCTTCTATCTATTATTCAACATGGTTATTGATAGGTATTATATTATCTATAGATAGGTTATTGAGGGTGGCTATGTGATGCTCACTACGTCACATGTCATAAAATGTTATTCAAGAATATGAGCCTCTAGCATGGTTTGAACATATTCGAATTTCCTAGTCAACAATTATATTAGTAAGTCATTGAGCATAGCAATTCAATTTGAGGAGAAAAGAGGAACTTCTGCAGAGTAAAACATTTGCTACCCACTTGGAACTCTGAATCGTCGTCTGATTTCTTCACAGCTCCAGCACTAAGTAGTCCAGTCAGATCTGATAGAAACTCGTCATCATAAACTGATCTTTGTTCCCATATTTTAAAAATGCGAAGGATTTTTGGTCTCACTTTATCATCCCTGAAAAAAAATTATGATAAAATAGAAAATTTTGGATACAGGTAGATTTTGTTGATAAGAAAGCTTAAACATAATATGTTAACATCATATTGATATATATTGGACCTGCATGTGGTAGAAGCAGAATAAAATACATTACTCGCTGCCCCGACTCTGTCTAATGAGGGCTTATGAGAGAGTATGAGATTGTTTTACGTTTACAGGGATTGAAACATGAATGTTTCAGTGTTCTCGTTTGGATTTTGTTACATGTATACCAAACTCATACAAAGCCCTCAGGTGCCATAACAGTTGAATAGGGGAGAGCACAAGACAGAAACTGAACAGCAGTACTTTTTGATCACCTCTTAACCTTGACCACCAGTTGTGTGGAAACAGCAAGTTAACTCGTCGAGTACCATCATTATAGACACAATTATAGAACAATAGGTTGCGGTCACCGGTGACCGCTTGGTGTTTGACAGTTTAACTTACTTATATAAAAAATTATAACAAATTCTTAAATACTAATTAAGGATGAATTGTAGCTTCGCACTTTTGACACGGTAGTCAAGGGTTGACCTATATTATCCAACCATCTTGACAAATGTAGCTATTTAGAAGAGTTTAAGTAATATTTAATAATGTTGGTTTTAATATAAACTTTAACTAAAATATTGTTCATTGTTTACACACAGACAGGGCAGTAAATAGGTAACTTATGCCTATGAATACTGAAACATTACTCAATTTAAGTCTTGCTCAAATATCGTGCCATCTCTGTCATTTTACAAAGAATTTTTAGAGATAGAACTACACTTAACCACGACTTAAAATTGAGTAGCATTTGAGTATTCCGACATTAACTTTATAGGTTAGCTAATGGACATAATGCATCACTTTATTACTGTACACATTTTTAGTGAAGTAATTAAAATTCAGACTATGTTGATGCGTGACCTGTCATCTACATTGTTGTCAGCATGTATTAATTTGTAACTTTTCATTTAGAATTAAGTATTTATTTTCTCATGAGTGTTCAATTCAATAGACAACAAACATAAACATTGTTAAACCAGTGTTTTATAACAGTCAACAACACGAGTGTTCCCATTCTGTCATAAAATTATTGTTAGCTTCACTAACCTGACCAATGGTGTAGCTTTCTGTAAATTGAGTCCCCAACTCTCAACAAACTCATAGTTCTTCCGTTTACTGTACTGGATCACATCGTTGGCCAAATAAAACAGGACCAGTCTCTGTTCTACCTTCACCCTTTTCAACACATTCAACCAACTGGAAACTATCTTTTTATGATGCGGCCTTTGCTTCAAACACCACGCCGACAAACCCTGGATACTTTCCTGAGTATCCTTCAAGTGCATTAATCGTTTCTCAAATGCTAAAGTGTTAAATTCTTCAGCTTCACCCATTGTTATCAAACTAACGAAGTATCACTGACACATTATATTTTTCAGAAGATTCATTACATGTCAAATTATTAACATACTTTTCATATTAACACAATGACCATTGAAAGATTGTCCTATAAATTCGACACACAGCAAGAAAATACGAACAAATAAACTAAGAGAAAAACCGCGTTGTTAGCACTAATAAGATATTGTACTTATTATGTATACTTTTCGGTGGAATATCAAACATTATTTAATGCCACTCAGAAAATCTGTAAACAATTATATCACTCGAACGTTTCACTTCGTGAATAAATTCTAAACAAATAAACAGCTAAATTGGAAATAGTTACGGATAAGTAGTAGGTGCAGTGCCAAAGACAACAACCGCCATTTTCTTTAATAGTTGTTTCTAAATTCATAGTTAGGCATATGCATTTTACATATACAGCCTAATCTACTCTACTGCTAACAGTTTGTAGGCGTAATGATAATGACTGAAAAATCTTAAAATTATTGTGAATATTATATCCCCTGTTGTGACTATAAAACCTGTACATTATAGATACATACATATTGTATAAGAGATGAGTTGCCTCGTTAAATTATAAATCGGAATTTTAGTAACATTTCGTAATGTCACTGTCAGTGTTAAGTCAATTCAGTGCTCAGATTTTTTTATTGCTGTTCATTCGCTTCAATCACTTCATTAATTGGTATCACTGACGTGACGTATACTTACTTGTTAAACCAGGGCCGTCACACTTAGAGCCATTGACAGCTTTAAAAATCGAACCGTCAGCTACATCTAGTTTTCGAACCTGAAATTAAATGTTGTGAAAACTTTTTTTTTTTGTTGTCAAAACTAATATTTTCAGTGGCCACACAGTTCCAACCAAGGTTGCAACATTATTTCAAAATTTAGGCTTAAAATAATATTTTTTGGAAATAGTACAATAACATTATACACATTTATTTAATACTATATTGCAATTTTTACAAAATAATTCCTTAAACTTAGATCAAATGACAGTTATGCTGGCATAATCGTTCAAAGTTGACGGCCTTTTTACTAATAAAGAGATTAAAAAAATATCAAGTGATGGATGACAAACTAAACTGTATGAAGTGACTGCGTCAGGTTTCTGCATCCAAAAGCATTAACCTAAGAGCCTGTGAACCCCAGGTCTAGGCCACCGTTTTTATTATATAAAAACTAATATTATATGAAAATACTCAATTTTCATAGAAAATCTATAAAATAGGTTGCACACATTCTTTCTGTCTCCCTATCACACACACACACACACACACACACACACACACACTTAATCTTCCTCGATAAATGCACTAACACCAAAATGAACTTTAATTCCATTTTTAGTCTGGAGCCTTCTTGCACGGTTTGCCAATCTGAACTAAACGCATTGAACAGAGCTGTTAAAATGGTTCTAGATAGCGACTAGAGTAAGAGTACTGAGTGACTCTATGTCCTCCCTCGATGTCTTGAAGAACCCCAGGATTAGCCACTGTTTGGCGGAAGAGATAAAGCAGTGTTTGGAGACCGTAATGGAACAGGGAAGAGAGAATCGATTTTTGAAAAGTAATCCGAGATTTTTTTGTCTAAAGAATATAATGCGCAAAACGCTAACGGCCATGATTGAGCATCGTATGACGTCACATTTCAATAAACAAATAGTTCCTTTCTTTGTTCTTGTATTTATCTCTGAAAATGATACGTATACTATTTCAATTTATGTTTTTTGAAGCTTAAGGAAATGGAGTCAGGCTACATAAAAGTCTAGTTCAAATCTATCTAAAGTGGATTCATTTCTGGTCGCAAACTTCTTTGCATGAAACCCTTACTTTTGTTCTGCAGAGTTTCGGAATGTAAAACTTCCGAGTAAGTAACGATAAAGTACATCAATTCTATTTGGGCAAGTCGTTTTGTGTAATTCTTAAATCAATTACTTTAAAATTTATTAAAACATTTCAAATCACTTATAGTTCGAAACTAGTAGAGCTTTTCTCAGTATATTCACGTGAGTAACCCGCGTTTTTACTTAATTTAGTATGTCTCACGATAGTTATTTTAAAAACATATATTAAACCG